TTCCTCTAGTGAGAACTGAGGCTGTCATCCATCCAACCTGACCTCTAGTCCAGTCAGCCACACCGAAGGAGCTAAAGAGGCAGAGAGCCCGTCCCAGGTGACTGTGCCCAACCCTGAACTCAGCAGATTAAAACTCTTCCCAAGCATCCTTTTCCCATCTCTTCTGCCTTCTGACCTGGTCATCCTAAAATAGAAAGAACCAGCTGCCAACTAACCTATGTCACCACCAAGCCCCTCCTTCCTACTCCATCCCTCCCCACACATGGCCTGGCCTCCTGTGTAACCACCCTCCACTCCATCCTACAGACAGCGGGAATGTAACAGCCTCACTGTAAAGCCTTAGAGTCTCTCCCCTAAACTGCTGCAGGAGGTAGGGGTGGGAGTAGCTCCCACTTGCTCTCCCTGCCTCAAGCCTCATTAGCTTCCATTCCATCTCCAGGGCATTCCCACAAGACTTCTGGGATGAAGACTAAATCTTCCTGCTAATACTAGTATCCAGAGTTACCAGGGCTGTCCAGAAACAGCCTCATCAGTCTTGCTTTTCTCTGCCTCACGGCCATCAATATGGCCGCCACACTACTATAACACCTACCCACCAGGCTCTCACTGAGCCTTCCCATCACTGCTCCAACACTCACATGTTCTTCCTTCCTGAACCCTGGCTAGCCTCACACACTCAAAGACTTTCCAGGGTCAACCCTTTCAGGGTTCCTCCCTGACAAGAACAGTAGGTGGCCACTTCCCTGATCTATGAAAGCTTTGTGGACTACTTCCTACTCTTTGCTCTCAGGTTTCCTCTTTCCTCTGCATTCCCAGAATCCTGAAAGATGCCTACAGCTCAAAAAAACAATGAAGCCTCTGGTACCTGAGGGCAGAATCCTCACATCTGCATTGCTTGAAGACTCCTGGGCTCATTCCTCTCTGTGCCTCGGGTACCTCTCCCTATCCTTCCTGACCTACAAGGAACTTTATCCTTAGCTGTCCCTTCCTCCTTCATGAACTCATTTTAACCAAAATGGAGAGGGGGAAAAAATGTAGCACTCAGGGTTAAAACCAGCCTCAGTTACAGAATGAGTTCCAGGACAGACAGTATGGGCTACAGGACAGGGACTCTGTGGCAAAGGGGGGAAAAAACTTGTTTTCAAATCTCTCCACTCCTCCACTGCCATGACAGTGCCCAAACACGGTCACCTCCTTCCCAGGTATCCAATGACTTCAAATGACTTCAAATGACTTCAAATGGTAGATACCAATGGGGTGTGTGTGTGTGTGTGTGTGTGTGTGTATAAGACACCGAGATTTCACCAGAGATCTTCCATGTATCGTTTTCCAAAATTTCAATTCTACTCTTGTGTGGTGTTTCACTGAACTGAAAACAAACAGCTCTGCCAGACTAGGCTTGAGATTAAAAATAATTGCCGGAAGAAATAAAAGGTTGTTTTACCACTTGCAGCTTTTTGTTTCCATTTTGGCTAATTCCGATTAGTTCAGGGTGATAAAGCATGTCATCCCATTAGAGTTCCTTTATCACGATCATCTCCCCATGTCCTCGTGGGCCCAGTTCTCCTCCTGGGCAGGCCTTACTGCAGCTGCCAAGGTCGAATCTCTTCTGTATGATACAGTGAGCTGAATTTATTTCATTTAAACTCCAAACTCCTACATATGAGCAAACAATGCCTAGTATTTATAAACAATAAAATTTAAAAATACTGACACAAAAACCTGTACACAGATATTTGAGGTAGGTTTTGTTCACAATCACCTGAAACTGGACTGTTCTTCAACCACAGTAAGGATGAACAAACTGGTACATCCAGACGGTGGAATAGTACTCACCAATACAAAGGACCAAGAGTCAATGATACACAAAGCAATAAAGGTAATTCGGACACATCTTGCCAAGTGGAAGAAGCCCCTGTTTGGGAAAGCCCCAGCAATTTAGCCAGAGAAGAATAGAATAGTCTAGGACTGCGGCTACCAGGGGCTTAGGTGGGGGAAGAGTTTGCCTCAAAGGGGCAGCAAGAAGTTTCACCATGATTTTTGCATGGATTATGTCAACTCACATGTGGCTCTACCTAAGGAATTGTCCATCCTACGTCTCTGGGTGTAAATTAAATATTTGAAACCCTTTAACCATACCTAGAGACTAGTGATCATCTCTAAAACACACTTAACACCAACATATGGACTTCAGTGCTGCTGTCTTAGTTCTGACAGTCTGAGAAGTAAGGGAGAGAATGAGGGTGGGGGGGAAGGCCACAGCTGAGGAAGGAGTTTCCCCAACTGTTCTTCAGCTCTGTCCAGCACCTTGTACCCTTTAGTGATTCCACATCAGGGTAACTTCTGCAGCAGCTGTACTTACAGCTCAGTTCTAACCAAGGACACAGACAAGGTTACCCAAAATCCACACAACACAGAGGCTGACAAAAGGATTTCAAAAAAAGGGCAGCAGGGACCAAATCTTAATTCGGTAACTCAACCTAACAAGTGTAAGCAAAAAAAAAAAAAAAAAACTCTTAAATGTGATCTACCTCGTTCCAAGTCTGTCCTTATAGATGAGCTGGGCTGGGCACGGTGGCACACGCCTATAACCTTGGCACTCAGAGCCAGGTAGAAGGATGACATTTGGGGACAGCCTGGGGTACATATCCAAGACCCTGACTCCAAGGTGGGTCGGGTGTTTGAGAGAAAAGAGGAGAGGGTGGGAGGGAAGGAAAATGGGAGAGACTATGAACACAGAATGAAACCCTGAACCAGGTTAGACTGAGCTGTAAAAAAAGAAAGAAAAAACCTTGGATTGAGTGTTCCTTAACATGGAAAATATGATTCAATTTCAGGCAAAGGATGAAAACAAGCAAGTGTTCACCACCCAGTTACACTTTCTTTCCAGTGTGCTCTCGCCAAACCCGCACATTCCTGCTGCAGACAGGGAAGGCCCGAAGGTCCTCCTCAGAGACCGCCTCAGGAAACAACAAGCAGACGCCAGCTGTAGCTCCAGTATGGGAGCCATAGTGTTCCTTCCTGGCTCTCCCAGGAAGGAACATGCCCTTGCTTATTCTCCAGAACGCCCTGTGTCTCTGGGTCTCTCTCCCTAGAGACACAGGCCTGCTACCTTGTTACAGCCCTGCATGAGATCAACACCTGAGGCCAACTCCAATCCAAGATGAGCTCATGACTGCGGCCTGGGAGAACCAGCTCCCCAGCCTCCAACAGCATTTGCAGCTGGAAAGACTGGCCTAAATGTAAAACAAATGCTATTTTCAGGACAGGCTTCTTGTGGGGGGGAGGGGAAAGAACAAAGCTAAAACCAACAAGAGAGTACATCAGACCAGAACATTCCACGACATGCAGTACCTAAAGAGAGTTTCTGAAACACATTCTCAAGAAATGGTCATTGCAAGAGGCTAGCTGTGAAGGCTAAATAAAACCCCCTGCCCCTGGAAAGACCGGAATGAAGGACTAAATGACGGACCAGCGTATTGTCTTAAGCTAATTAAGGTTTATCACATTAGCCATCTGAGTTTTAGTTGGCACCAGAAACTCAGGGGCCAGCACACCATGCAGTATAGAGCCGAATACGGTCGGCAAGCGTTATTTCTACCACAGTCATCTGCAGAACCTCTAGCAGTCGAAAAGGAGGTAGAACTGAAAACCAATTTTTAGCAGAGTGATTTTCAAAGAACCTTGCTTCATTCTGGAGGCTCTGCGCTGGCATATCCATCTGAGAACACATTTATCTCCATTAAATACTTTATAAAATATTCCAAGCTAACCGTGCACTCTAGTTCCCCCACCCTTTTGCCAATGCTAGCACACAGGCGACTCTCTGCAGCCCAGTGGGGGGAAAACATTCCAACAATAAAACCCCTGCATACTTAACACCCTTTACTGCAGACAGACTGCCCACCAAACTGCCAGCACACAATTTCACCAAGGCTAAGATCCTCCGCATTTCTGAATAGACTATTCAGCTGAACCCGGAGAGGAACACGATACGCACTTCAAAGGGAGAAAACGTATTTGCAATCAGGTCTCCCATGGGTTCCTCTTGACTGTGCGTTTACCAAACCAGCAGAAAGGCAGAACCAGCTCTGTTGCTGAGATCATACTGGACCAGACTCTGGTGCGACTGGTTTCCTGTTTGAGGAAGTTGTAGTTCTTTGCACAAGGAACCCCAAGGCGAAACGTTTAGTGTTCTCCTGGAAGCCCCTTCAGCCTTTGTTCCTCACTAACTTGCTGCCCTCCTCTGCTTTCTCCTCTCCTGTCCTTTCCAAACTCTAGTTTACATTTTTTTTAACCAACCCAATTCTGACTGCAGTCAAAGCATTAGATACTTTCCACCACCCACTACAGTAAAGCTACAAGCTGACAGTCATTCTTGTACAGATGGAACCAGAGAGCTGGGTTTCTCTTAGTCCTTCCTTAGTATCCTACATTAAAATGTATGCCACAAATAATCCAATGGTGAACACTCTGTCGACAGCCCCCAAAATCAATAAAAGACATTCCACTACTTGCCTGAGAAACCCTTCAGGTCAACACGGGGAGCAAGGAAAAGGGAGAGGTGAAGGATGAACAAAAGACTACTACCTCCAGGCTCCTCACAGCCTAAAAAGCTGGCTGGCCTGCTTCGACTTGGTGAAGCCCTGCCTTTTCTTACAACTGTGGTCAAAACAAGAAATGTGGACTGCTTCTATGCAAAAAACAGTGCATTCCCCACAAGGCCCCGCTACCTCCCACCCTCTAAACATGCCTTTCCAGGCCTGACTCTTCCAAATCGCCCAGGCACATGCGATTTAATGAAGGCATTCAGATCTTGCCTTGATAGCAACACCATCAAAAAAAGTCACTGGAATCCCATTAAACATGGATAAGAGGAAAGGTATTTGGTCTCCATTCTGAACCCCACTCATCTCCAGGGTACCAATCCACTGTCAGCCTGTGTCAGAATGGATGTGCAGATTAATATTTAAATTCATGCTAAAAATAGCATATCTCACCTTGTGAACCTTGACCTTTTGAAAAGACTTTGGACCAGTGTTCAGTTACTGTCACACCGTTGCATTCTCTGCAAATATGAAAGGGTTAAAAGCAGCCCCAGTCAACAGGCCTACAAGGAAAAAAAAAGAGACAGCATGGATGGCTGACAGCATCACTGGAACACATTTATGCTCATTTCCTAGAACAATATTGTTACCTTTTGGCCTTCATAATAACCCCAAGTATCCCCAACACCCTTTAGTAGCTTCTAAAAGGAAAAGCACAAAATAGAACATAGCCTGCAAGAGAAAAAAAAAAAGGCATGCAAAGTAGCATTCTCCAGCAACAAACTACCATTACAAATCCATCAGTTCATTCTGGTTCTGTTTCCATAAAAACACAGAGAAAAAGAGAGACTGCACAAACCAAGTGTCCCCACCCTAATAAGGCACATACTTTTTTTTTTCTTTAATAAGGGTCATAAATCTCAGCTCCTTGTCCATCCCTTAAGCAAAAGAAAAAAGAGGCAGGAAAAGCCTAAGAAATCTCAGAGCCTGCAAACGTGCACCTTTCCCCCCAAGCATCTCTACACAGGCTCTTTTAGGGTTCCACCAGTCACGTACCAATGCTGTGTGGTGTCTAAGTGTGCATTTACATACTGTGTTGGGATGGTAGCTTCCTGCAAGCTCCTCTGCTTTTGGCTGCCATGAAGGGAGGAAGCTGCTATCCCACTGTGGAAGCTCAGTGACTGCATTGTGTTCAGGAGCTGATCTGCCTCAAACCAGTTTCAGCCGGTTCTGGTCACCCTACATAAAAAAGCTATGGCAACCCTCGCTGAGTTGCCAACAAGTCCCTGAGAATCAGCACAGGGTGGGAGCTTGCTGGGGGTTGCCTCTCCCTTTTATAGGGCTTCCTGAGGAGGGAAAGGTCACTCTGTGTGTGTGTGTGTGTGTGTGTGTGTGTGTCCCCTCCACACAAGCACAGGACCCTGGAAATGCTCACCTCATGAGCCCCCCACAGCCCCTCAGGGCTCATCCCCCTCCACCCCAAAGCCCACCGCAGACACTGTTTCCCCCTCCTTCTCTTTCCCCCACTTACCTCCCACAACCTGGCTCAGATCTTTGTGTACGTGTGTGTCAGTGTGTGTTCCCTGTGTTGGTGGCTGACAAAGAGCCCCCAAGAAAGCAATCTATGTGTGTCTCCTCACACAGGATGCATCGGCTGCGGGAGCCGGCCTGGCCTCCTAGCAGAGTGGTGCTGGCTTGTTGACCAGGCTCCTCTCTGCCTGTCACCCCCACCCCACCCAGCCCCCTCCTCCCTTCCGTCCTTCTCCTCTCTCTCCCAGCCCTGTCACCACCACCACCAGCAGCAGCCCCCCCAGTCTCCTCCTCCTCCTCCAACCTTCTCTTCTTTCAAGCACCTGGGGGTTGGGGGGTTGATCCAAATCCCTTCACCTCTGGGTAGCACACTGGTGAGGTGTGGGGCGCTAGGGGACAAGTCAAGGGACAGTAGGGAAGAGGGGGCACCCAGGCCTTGGGAAAATCATCTGTGCACAACCAGCTCTGGAGGGGGAGGCGAGCCCGTGCTCACGTGGCCCCCTCTGGAGCTGGTGGGGCCTAGCAACACCAGCCCTGCCTCGGCCCCCCCTCAAGACGCTGGCTGGGCGCGAAGGCCGGCTGTCCCCAAAGCCAGGGTGGGACAGGCCGCTGCACTCAGGCCAAGGGGCCTGAGCCTCGCGCTCGCCATGACCCGCGGGGTGGCACGAGGGGCCCAATGCCCCCTCCCGCCCGCGTCCGCCCGCACCCTCGCGGCCCCCTGTCCCAGGCGCACACCCACCCCCTGGCCGGGCGGGCCTCCGCAGCGCTCAAGCCCGGGTGTCCGGGCCGTGGCTCGGGCGACCTCTGCTCCGCGCGCCGCCGGCGGCTGCTGCTGCTGCGCCCGCTGCAGTGCGAGCGGCGGCGGCGGCGGCGGCGGCGGCGGCTTCCATGCTACGGGCGTGTCGCGCCTCCCCGCCGCCGGGGTCTGTGTTTAAGAGCGGAGCCGGGCCTCGCCGCCCTAGGGCTCCTCGCCGCCGCGGCCTCGCGGTG